CCCTAAGGGAATGTATCGAAATCACAGAAGGGGGCTTCCCTGGTGGCGCAGTGGTTGAGAGTCCACCTGCCGATGCAGGGGACACGGGTTCGTGACCCGGTCTGGGAAGATCCCACATGCCGCGGAGCGGCTGGGCCCGTGAGCCATGGCCGCTGAGCCTGCGCGTCCGGAGCCTGTGGTCCGCAACGGGAGAGGCCACAACAGTGAGAAGCCAGCGTACCGCAAAAAAAAAAAAAAAAAAAAAATCACAGAAGGACTTTGCAAAATCATCGCATTCTGTACCCTTCCTACTATTAAGGATCAGTGCCATAAAGGCACTGTTACTGGTGTTTCACATGAGTTGAGGTGAAAAAGGTAATACATTTTTTATGAAGCAATGAATATTATTGAGATATTCAGGTCTTTTTTATCTACATAGAAATCTTTTTTATATACATAGTCAAAGATATATATATATATATATATATATATATATATATATATAAGGTATTCTGTAGCTTTAATTACAAGATGTAAAAGTTTTCTCTGATCTTTATCTCTTCAACATAGTTAAGAATTCATTTTTTTAAAGGAATCTATATAAGTACTAATTTCACTTATCTATTTACTAATTGAGTTCTCATAGATGTTCTTGAGGGAAGCTGTGAAGATGGGAGAAGACAAATGATACTTAGTTCTTGTGCTCTGGTGTCAACCAGCTGGCTTTATACGTTTGAGTGATGGGAATTAGTAATCTGAATTCAACAGAATGTGATAAAGTTTTGTTCTCTAGAATACAAGGGAGTCCAGGACAGACTTCAGTTTTTCACTTGATGTTCTAAAGGCAGTCAGCAAAGAACTAAGTGGATGATAGGGAACTCATTCCTTAAACTTGGGGCCCCAGTACCTAAAACAGTAGTTTTAAGGTCTTCATAAGTAGATACTACGAAATAAGCTGAAATCAAGGAATCAGTTACAGGAAGGGAGGCTGGGAGGCACTTTTGCTTTGTGTTTTTAAGAGCAAACATATGCCAGTTCTTTCCTGAAAAGAAGAGACCCGCCCAGGGGAATAAGCTACTTCTCCACCTCTCCTTTTCTCTGCTGCTAACAAGCTCAGTGGTGTGTGTTCAACCTTTCTTTTGTTCCCACTCACTGTTTCCGATAATTTACTGATAGCTAAACAGCCAGAGGCACTTGATATCACACAAATCTCCTGTAATTACACAAAAAAACCTTAGATCAGTTCAGAGATGGCATCTGTTGGAACTAATGCCTACAGCCAAAGTGTACAGTAGAATTTTTTTTCCCTCTCAGACCCTGCCTGTGTTTTAGTTGCCTGGCAACCCATCTGGGATGACAGCTAATGTCAGCTGATTTTTACTTAGCCCAGGAAAGTTTTCAAGGAGGGCCTTTGAGTTTGTGCAGTTCTGGGGAAGGCTCCAATTTGTGCTACCAAATAATCTGTAAAACTGTAGACTAATGGGCTCAGGCAGGCTAAATGTAAATGTGGAGGTCTCAGGGGATCAGCTTCCGGAACAGTGTGGCCTTAGGGATTTTGTTTCTAACTCTTAGGAGCTTAGCAAATGAGCTTCAGCTATATTCTCACTACTGCTCAAGTTCTGTGTGCCCTTTTTAAAGGAATAAGAAATGTCCAACATTATCCTAACCCCTGAATATTAGAATTTAGCCAAATACTTTATACGGCTCTTTTGAAAGAAGGGCCAATATTTTAGGTGCGTAAGCAGCAATTGGGAGGAAAGAGGAATATTCTAACAAGTGAAAATATGTTAAAACTTCTCCTTTAATCCAGTAGAGGGCAGAATGGAATTTTAGCTTTTTTTCTCACCTGTAATTATCCGAACAAAACTGTGGCAATCCAAGGCAAAGTTCAGTGACACGTTTGTAAACAAGTTATCCCCAGCCCATTACTACACATGTTAATTCTGGTTGTGTAGACAGGTTCTGGCTAGTGTGCTCAGAGCCAGTTGGAGCCTGTCTAGGAGAAAAAGATGTATATAATTTTGAGTTATTTATGCCTAAGAGGGGACAATTATGTAGTGTCCATATAACAATACTACTAATCAATTCAGATCTTATTTACTACTTACAACCCAGCACGTCACGGTTTTCCCCAGGTGTGTTTGGGGCGCTCCAGATGCTGGAATGAAACAATATATGAAATAATGAGTAAATTATTTCAAGATCACATGTTTCCTTTTGAAAGTATCTGTACCTCCATGTGAGCCTGTAAAATAGTAAAAGTGATTTTCACCACGTACTTGGGATTCTGAAAGTTCCATCTTATCCTTTTAGAGCTACAGCCAAAACTTGTGGTGGTAGTAGCTGTTACTTTGTAAAGGTGAGGTTAATACTGAAACATGATGACAACTGAGAAATGAATCTTTTTCTCGGTGTTACAGTTTCCACACTGGTTGCTGTCTGGCTTTTAAAAACCACTTTTAAAAGGAAAATAAATTGTTCACTGCTGATTTGTAGTGAAGGCTGCTTGGGTTAGTATGTAGTGTTTTAGCTTGGGTTCCTCAGGAAGCAGCCCCTGAGATGGAGTGAGGATATTTACAAAGGAGCACCCTTGGGATCTGCACCTGTGCAAGGGAGGGGGCGGAAGCAGGGTCAGGCGGAGGGAGAAGTGTGGTGTCCTTCTCAGCAGGCCCCAGTGGGAACTCTGGATGCCGGGGACTCATCAGAGTACCCTGAACTGGGGCACTTCTACACTGATTGGTTACGGGATGTTTACCTTCTACCCTAACCCTAACCACAGCCCACGGTCTTAGTTGAGGTGGCCCTTTGGGGTCAGACCATCCTTGAGGGATAGGCACTGACAGCCTCAGCAGCTGAGACAAGAAGTCTTTATTGAAGAGGGATCTGGGTGCCACATCACAGCACAGGGAGCGTGAGAAACAGCACCACCACCACCACCCCCCCCAAAAAAAATCAGGTACACTGAATTCTCTTTCTGATGAATTGTTGACTCTTTAATGCTGGATAACTTATTGATTGCTTTAAAAAGAAAGTGATCGTTCGCTCTTTGTTGTTTGGAAAATAGGATTTTAAAGAATGAAAAAGAGCACATTTTTATCAAAGAGTGTCAGATTCTGAAATATAGTGGGAGCATAGACACATATACATGGTTTATTTATTTGCATTGGTATTGCCTTATGAATAAAAAACTGTGCTGATTAAAAGTAACTACAATGACTAATGGAATCATAGTTTGTGGTCATTCTTTTCGATCTTTCAGGAAAAGTTGTTAAATAAGTCACGGAGTGATGCTGGTAGTTTGTCAGATAATGAAGCACAGGTAAATCCATAATAAAAAGACAGGAAGCAGGGAAGGTAAATTTGTATGTTGGTCGTGGAACAGTCATTTCCGTCTCGCCTTATGTATTTCATATTTAAGCCTATTAATTTCATCTATTTGTTCCTTTGTCATTCAGTCATAGCTTCAATTGTGTGCCTGCTGGGAGCAGACCCCTGTGGCTGCTTCATACATCTTTGAGACATGGTTCTCACTCTCAAAGAGCTCATAATATCATCCCTAAAAGTCACATTTGTTCTATCACCACCAATCTCATTAGAAAAGTATACAATTTGGGAAGATGTTAAGTTTATGGTGCAGGAGATAAGTTTTCTAAAATAATGTTTTTTTCCTGAAAGGTCTGATGTTTTCATTGGCAATAAATATTTCAGTTGTTTTGTGAAGTCAGTCTTAATTTGTTCAGTTTTTAAGAAAATGTCTGTTACATACTGAAGTCTAAATACCCATAGTTTATATGTAATTCTTTAAATTAAAAATGGCGTTCCATGAAGAAAGCAGCTCATTTAGCCTCCAACTCAAACATGAGTGCTTTTCTTGAAGACAGAGTTTGTATTTCAGTATGCAGCAGAAGTGCTTTATGGTTACTTCCTATTTTGTCACATAAAAAGGAGGTTTGAAAGTTGGGATTCAACAAAATTAATCCAGTTTTCTTTTCCATTAAGGATTTTAAGTGAAACTGGATTGTTACTAATTTTTAACTGCTAGTGCATGCCAATAAAAAAGAATCAAATGGGGCTTCCCTGGTGGCGCAGTGGTTGAGAGTCCGCCTGCCGATGCAGAGGACGCGGGTTCGTGCCCTGGTCCGGGAAGATCCCACATGCCGCGGAGCGGCTGGGCCCGTGAGCCATGGCCGCTGAGCCTGCGCATCCGGAGCTCTGTGCTCCGCAACGGGAGAGGCCACAACAGTGAGAGGCCCGCGTACCGCCAAAAAAAAAAAAAAAAAAAAAAAAGAATCAAATGACTGTTAGAACAGTTGGTACCACTGTCTTGACTAATGCTAAGGCACCAGAAATTTTGCCCTCCTTTACTTTTGTACCATTAAATGTCAGCTCAAGTGTCAACACAGTGAAAAAGGCAGATAATGTATTAGCATTATGAAAGGAGTCATGACCTCGCTGTCCTCTGAAAGTGTCTTACTTTCAGTGTCCACAGCCCACATTGAGAATCATCAGAACAGAGGAAAGTTTAAGCTGGGGGAGGTGTGGGGGAGAGAGACGGCTTTGGCAAGAGATGGAAGAGCCAGGCATTATATGATGGCAGCAGAGATGGAGAACAGGGAAGGAACAAGAAATGTCGCAGAGGCTATATAGATAAGATTTGGCAGTAGAAAGGCAAGTAAGACTTGAAACTTACTAAGGTTTTTCAGCCTGGGTGACTGAGTGGATGGCAGTGCCATTAACCGAGGTGATGACTGGGGGAAGAGGAGCCCAGGTTTATGATTGAAAATGATACTGCTTTCACCATGAGAGAAGAATCTGCATAATTCTCCCATTTGGAAAAGGATGGATTCTAGCACCGATGAAAATGAACAATGTACTGTTGGCTGGGTCCGTGCAGCAGCCTAAGATCTGGTTTTGTATTGATAACGAATACTGGCTCTTAGAAGCTCAGCACATTCTCGATTGATGCATAAGACTCTTTTATCTGTGCTTCCTGTAATAGTGTTTTCTCCTTCTGTTTTTAGGAATGGTGCAAAAGCTGGACCAAAAACTTCCAGTGGCCAATGAGTATCTATTGCTTTCTGGAGGAGTCCGGGAAGGCGTGGTAGACCTGGACTTAGATGAGCTTAATGTCTATGCCCGAGGGACTGACTATGATATGGACTTCACTCTTCTGGTGCCAGCCCTGAAGCTTCATGACCGTAATCAGCCTGTGACACTGGATATGCGCCATTCAGCCTTGTGCCACTCTTGGCTGAGCCTTCGGCTCTTTGACGAGGGGACGATCAGTAAGTGGAAAGACTGTTGCACCATCGTCGATCATATCAATGGTGCCACCAACTACTTCTTCTCCCCAACCAAAGTGGCTGACTGGTTCTATGACTCCATCAGCATTGTCCTATCAGAGATACAGAAGAAACCCCAGCGAGGGATGCCAAAGGTGGAAAAGGTAGAAAAGAATGGGACCATCATCTCCATCATTCTGGGTGTGGGGAGCAGTCGCATGTTGTACGATATTGTCCCAGTGGTCTCTTTCAAGGGTTGGCCGGCAGTGGCCCAGAGCTGGCTCATGGAGAACCACTTTTGGGATGGGAAGATCACCGAGGAAGAAGTCATCAGTGGGTTTTACCTGGTGCCTGCTTGCTCCTACAAGGGAAAGAAGGACAATGAGTGGCGGCTGTCCTTTGCCAGGAGTGAGGTGCAGTTGAAGAAGTGCATCTCCAGCAGCCTCATGCAGGCCTACCAGGCCTGCAAAGCCATCATCATTAAACTCCTGTCCCGGCCCAAGGCTATCAGCCCCTATCACCTGCGGAGCATGATGCTCTGGGCCTGCGACAGACTTCCTGCCAACTATTTGGCCCAAGAAGACTATGCAGCCCACTTTTTGCTGGGCCTCATTGATGACCTGCAACACTGTCTGGTCAACAAGATGTGTCCCAATTACTTCATCCCGCAGTGCAACATGCTGGAGCACCTGTCCGAGGAGACGGTCATGCTCCACGCGCGGAAGCTCTCCTCCGTCCGCTCAGACCCGGCGGAGCACTTGCGCACCGCCATCGAGCACGTCAAGGCAGCCAACCGGCTGACACTGGAGCTCCAGAGACGAGGGAGCACCACTACCATCCCCTCCCCGCAGTCCGACGGAGGGGACCCCAACCAGCCCGATGACCGTCTGGCCAAAAAACTGCAGCAACTAGTGACTGAGAACCCGGGGAAGTCGATCTCCGTCTTCATTAACCCTGATGATGTGACAAGGCCCCATTTCAGAATTGATGATAAATTTTTCTGAGCGTTTTTGCTGCCTTTTTTTCCCCTCTGGTTCTAAAACTCTCATAATATGTAGTGTGGTTTGTGATGCCGTCTTTCTGTTTTTTACATATCCAGCCTAGGTTGGATCTGTTAAGAACACATTTTAAGTTTCCTGGTTCTGCAGGATGGTGCAGGCTCTGAAACAGTATATTACTATTTCATATTCTGCCTCTGATTTTGTTGTTTACATTTTGTAGTTATTACACATTGTTTTGGTGTTTGGTCTTGTTTTTGTTTTTTTTAAGGAGAACTTGAGCCATAGATGAAAATACCCATGAATTCTCTCACTTTTTTCTGTTTCATACTTTGTGCTTTCATACTTTTGTTCATGGGAGTGGGGAAACAAATCTCTTTCTCATGCTTCAGGATTCTCTTATTTTTTTGTTTTCCTTTTTTTGTCTTTATTTTTTTTAATGAGCGTTCATCACCACAGATATTTGAAAATCATCTGAACCTGGGAACTACCTGGTACGTTAGTTGGATTTATTTCTTTCGACCAGTGGCCAGGGTATTTTCTCCCTCTCTGCCAAACAATGTAGACTTTGAAAGTGATAATGCTATAAATTGTGTTTGGAGCAACTTCACTGAATGTAATTGTCCTTAAATCAGAACTTTGGATGGTTTGGAAGGGTGTCTTTGACAACTTACCAGATAGAATTAAGGTTTCCAAATGGTAGTTTTAGTGTGTGTAATTATTTGAAGCCTTATTTAAATCCTATTAAAGAATATACCATTATAATTGTTATTTGCACTAATGAGACTTTTGCCATTGTCGGAGTTCCAATGCGTGTATTTCAATATAAATTGACATCCACTGTTGAAATGCTATCATTTCTTCATTTAGCCCATTTGTCTTCATCAATAGAATGATTCTTTGTATTTGTTTAGTTCTTTAATTGTGGGGTCCTGTTTTGCCCTCCTTGATATTCCTGGTTCCTATCTTACTGAGAAATTTTTAAAGCTTTATATCTGCTGAGTGACTTTATCTGAAGCTGGGGAAAGTACATGCTTGATAAAGTAGTTGTCTTTGTATGTACAGTTGATCCTTGAACAGCACGGGTTTAAACTGTGTGGGTTCACTTATACACGGATTTTTTCCACTAAACGTGTTAGTTGAATATATGGATTTGGAATCGTGAATAGAAGGTCAACTGTAAAGTTATATATGGATATTCAACCTCACAGGGGTCGGTGCCGCTGACCCCTGCATTATTCATGGATCAACTGTATTTCTTTTGACATTAAAGAGGTAAGCTTTTTTGTAAAGTCTCTTTGCTTCTACTGAGAGTTTTGAGGAAAACTGGAAGGAAAAATTAATATCAGTCCCCACATAGAAGATACCATGCCTGTTCAAAAGCAGATTTTTCTACAGAGCAGGAACCAGGAGATAACTGTGGGTGGCAGCCTTGGTGTAGAGGTGTCCTGTCTTCATGAATGAAATTACTTGCCAGGTTTAGGTGCTGCAAGGCATCGATCGGCTCCCTGTTTTGCTATGAACTCATGGCAAACTGTAGTGTTTGGGAGGTCAGGGGCCTGCCGATCTCTCAAAGGATGACCGTGATGTCTACTATTGGAAAGGTCAAGCAACATTTTGATTTTGATCCTGAATGTCCAGTCTCACGGGTTGGATTTTGGCCGATTGAAATTAGGCATATACGGTCTTGGTTTTTGCATGGGAATTATTGTAATGCTTATAAATGAAAATGAAATCATTCAACCATCTTAAGTCAAACAAAAATAATAATAAAAGAAACATACTGGCCTTGGAATTTTGTTGTTGTTTGTTAGTTTGTAATCTGGAAACTATTTCCTTATTAGTAATCCCAACAGTAATTTTCAGTAGATATAGCCCTGGGCTTGCTGTTGTCTTTCAGGCCAGATGTCTATGTAGTGAACAACCAGTATTCATTCTTCCCTTTCTCCAATTTTCCTACTAGTATCTACCTATCCTCCATCTAATGTGTCCTTCTTGGGAAATGACTTAATCCCCAGCTTCAGACGTGCACCCTGATTGGTGTAGGCCAATCAAAATAACCATTTTCCTGGCCACAATCATTAGTTAGGGATTGGGCATACAATGTCAGCTGCTCCATTCGGGGACATGCTCAGGATTCTAGCTTGGGATGCTGGGGGAGCAGCATGCACCCTGGGTATGGAAGAGGAAGTACTTGGATTTGCTATCAGTATCGTAAACCTAGGGCTGGTAAGTCAGACATTGTTGAAGGTGAGTAGAAATGAGACGTAGTCTGATACCTTTTCTTGTCTGAAACATAAGCAAATCATTGACCTACTAATCCTCTGTCCTTTTGAAGCCCGGAAGGTTGGTTAAAATAATGTTTCGAGTATAATATAAAATGCCTCAAGGGAGCAGTCATCATTTTAATGTTACCTACATATACTTCTTTGGGTTGTGGGAATTTATAAGCTATAACTCAACAGGATTCCAGTTCTCTGATGGGACGTGTTTTTACATATTTCAAGAGTAGATTATTCTGGACTGTTTGGCTTTCTCATCTGAAATGGAAGATCCAAAGATGCAAGTAAAGGTTGGTTTCAGAGTGGATGGAGCCAAACAGGACCAGATATTTTAAAAATAAGAATGTCCCTGAAATTACTGTGCAAAGTTATTTCAGAGAAAATGAGAGGCAGGTATATGTGGCTAATTTTACTTTCAGGTGGAAATGTGAGCAAACAGGGAGGAGGCTTTGGGGGCTCATTGAAGAGCCCCTAGTGACTTCTTCACCAACCCCTTATAAACATGCACACACACACACACACACACACTTGCTTTCACATCATGAATTGGAGGTTTCTTTAGGGTGCTTTGTAACACTTCCTGGAAGGATTACACCCATTTGCTGGTCACAGCTAAGTGCTGATTATTTTGGATCAGATCATTACCTTGCTGAGAAAAATTCCCTGACTTGGAGTTCAGCCTTGGACAGGATGGCCAGGAAGGAAAAGGAAGGCTGTGCTTAGCAGCAGCTGCTGGGTCAGGGGGCTTCCTGCTGCTCCGTACCTCAGCGGTGGTCTTCGGGGAAGGTACTGAACTCCATCTTTATAAGCTCTCTCCAGAACCTCTTCCTTTGAGTCACCCAAGGGCTATTCCACTCCCCATCTGGTCATTACTGGGGGTCAAGGAAAGAATCCCCATATTCTTATCTGCAGGTAAAACTTTTTACCATGAAATGGAGCACTAACTACTACCTATACTAAAGGAAGGGGATGGACATTATTTCCTGTTCCTGTTATTTTAGTAATATCAGGTAAATACGTATATAGTTTTAAACTGATTGAATCGATGTAGTTAATGCTCCTCTCTGAGAAAAATAGCCAATTTTGAAAATGTACCTCTTAACGCTGTAATTTTCATTAGGTAAACAAAAAATGTATGATCTAAACCTTGTTTAGAATAAATATTTGCCAATGGAGAATTATTTGCAATATGTCTAAAGTTCTCTAAATTTCTACCTTCTGTTAATTAACGGGAAAAATCTCGTTTTTTCATTTTTTAAGAAAATATACATTATACGTGGTAGAAATCAAGCTGTAAAAATTTTAACTAATTCTGTTTCTTTCTCTATGCCCATTTTATAATGATACCCTATTAGCAGTAAGTTCAAAAGCAGCATGTTTAATAAACTGGGGCATTTGCCATATGGCACTGAATTCATACTAATGTAGTGTGACCCTGGCTTTCTAAGTGTGGGCTGGCGGTTTTCAATCCGCACTTGGGTCCTGACATTCATCAAACTTCAGGGAGTCCATATGCCTGGGTCTGTGTGGTTTAGGGTAATGAAGAAATTTCAGAAAACTCAAATATTAATCTCCCATATAAAAGCATTGTTTTTCAAAGGTCTTTAAAGACACATTTAGCCTTCATTTGGCATGGCAGCTGAGATGAAAATATTTGCATTTCTAGACCACATTCCCTCTCTTTTCAGGACGAATGGATTCTTAATGTGGCTTGGGAAGGGAAGGCACCTTTTTCATCTGCCATCTTCTGTTCCACCAATTTATCACAGATGCTTAAGGGGGGGCTAAGTGTGGGTAGAAGCAAAACCTTGTTTCTTTGACTTTACATTCTTATCTGTCAAATGCAGAATTGAGGCTGTTCCCTGCCTTTCTGGCTTTCACAATCTAAGATTAATTAACTCTGTTTCCAAAATAATCTCAATTTTAGATTTATAAATCCATCTATTTACACACATAGAGTATTCATTTCTGCAGAATGTCATTTTAAAAAATCTTATTTATTGCGCTGGCATATGTGGGGGGCCCAGTAAACATTTATTGAATACTTGCTGGTGCAGATCTTCTTGCTAGATGCTTTTACTCTTGAACCTGTTTACGCCTCACAATAACTCTAAACATGTAAGGAAACCACAATTCAGACATTAGATAACTTGTTCAAAGTTCCAAAGACAATTAAGTGGTAGGGCAGGGCCAGCATTTGAAACCATTTGTCTGGTTCCAAAATTAAGAACTTTTTACTATGCCACTCTGCCTCTGATATTAGTATCTATTCTTATTATTTAGATTAAATTCTGTGCATTTGTACAGGATCTTCATTTAGTTAAAAGGTAAACCATAAATAACAGAACCTGGGTTAAACTTTTCTTCAGAGCTTTTCATCAGAGTAGATGGATCATTTAGAGAAAGTTAATTTTCTGTCACTGACAGATCCTGAGAGAAGAGAGATGACCATTGTGGGAAAGTTTCTGGCTGGGATAGGAAATGGACCAAATATGAAGTAGCAGTATCACCTATGAAGTATTCTTGCCAGTAGTGAGTTTATTTAAATTTTTGTTACACCTTCTACTTCATACAGAATTCAGAAACTAGACAAACAACTAGCACCACAAGGAAATAAACAAATCTAGGAGGCAGGTCATCTTGTAGACAACTGGTCTGGACTTTTCAACAATTAATACCATGGTACAAAAAGAGAGTGGGGAGGAGGTGTTTTGGAGTTATATAATGAGCAAATGCTATCCATGATCCTTCAGAGGATGCTGATTTGAACAAACCAGCTATAAAAAAATTTTTCGGAGCAATTTGGGATTTTTGAGTATGATATTAAGGAATTACTAGTAAGCTTTGTCAGGTATGATAATGGTATTGTGATTATATAAGAAAATATCCTTATTTAAAGACGTGTGCTGAAGTATTAGGGAGTGAAATATATCTGTAACTTATGTTAAAATATTTCAACAAAAAGTAAAGCAAATATGGCAAAATGCTAAAGAAATTTATTTTAATTCCTGAGCTCAAAGGAATGGGCAGCAGGAGAACTGTTATTAGCAAAACACTACTCATTTTTCAAGATGTAGGGAGAGAGGTATTGTCTTTGAAAGAAAAAAATGTGCAGTTGGGAACTTAGTTACATTTAAAAATTAACTACTAATGATAGGTAACCAACAACTTTAATAGATCTTTCAGAGGCATTGATGTAAAAATGAAATACATGTAAATAGAACAGCTTGTATTTTTAGAACTGTATTTTGGTAATTTAGGTTTTTTTGTAATGTGATGGTATTTAAAAAATTTTCTGGTCATTGGTTAAAACTTTGACTAAACCTCTATAAAATCTTACCATTTACATTTTATAAACCTATACATTTATTATTTACATTCATAAATCTTTTCATAGAAATCAGACTCTTAAACCAGATTTTATAAAACCAGCTATCAGTAAATTAAAGACATGATTTTAGTGATGACTTAAGGGCTGGCCCCAAGGGGCAAGATGGCATTTCTTGGTTATGACTGTCAAAGCTATCTTGAAATAAACAGGTTCGTTTGTGATCCTTGCTTCTTCCAGCCTCAACACAGGCTGTGCTTGGAAGACTGAAGCAAATATCTGTCATCATGAGTCAAGCTCTTCCTCATTTATGGGAATGAATAAATGCAAAGAAGCTTTCCATTTCATGTGATAATAAGAATTATTAAAAATAAAATAAAACACTTGGTTCGCAACCAGGGGAGCTTCCCGAGTGAAATCTGAAATTCGCCCCTGTACACAGAGGGCAAGAGCTGAAGAAAGGGCCAGAAAACTCCAGGTTGGTAGGTGGCAGACTTAATAAGCAAGGGAACTTATATTTGAGGGTAGGCTTGTCTTGGGTGGCTGCAGGAGTAGATCTCCGTACCTGCCCCCCAGAATCTTTAAGTTTCCATAGAGGCCTTCACAGGGTTCAGTCAGTATCCAGTCCAGATGGTCTCAGCAACACTTTACTCTCTCAAGGCTGCATCCTTGCTCCTAGTGTGGGAATGGTGGGCGGAGCATACATTACCAGGACGAGAGGAGGGGTGAAGAGCCTCCCACTGCCAGGGTCCAGCTCTTGGGTCAGCTGGAGGTTTCATCCTCTTGATAATCTCCTCTAGAAAACACACAAGATCTTCTACGGTGATTGGCAGGTACTTTCTATAATGCTTATTGAAATTCACCGAATGACTGTCCTCTTCCCTTTTCTGGGTCTTGTTTGCTCTTGTCATTTATAAATTGAGGAGTGAGATTTGTGACCTCTAAGGACCCCCTCCATGAAGAGTTGTTGGCTGTAGAGGGAGAATAAACACAGAGATAGGAGCTGGACACGAGGGAAGATTAATTGATGACACTTTATGACTAGTAGGTGGAATTTGCAGACCCCAGCGGGTGCTCCAAATGAACTGAGGTGGATGGACATTTGGAGCAGTGCTCTGATAGGCTAGGTTAATGAGAAGACATCACTTTTGCTTATCCCATCCTCCCCCTCCCCCTTGTTTTAAA